GGCTGGCATGTGGTGCTGGGGGATTGAACTGTGGTCCTTGTGCTTTGCTAAGCTTGTTCTAAGTAGGTGCTTTAGACCACTGAGCCATCTCACCAGCCCCCAATAAATAAAATTTTAAAAAATCAAAAAGAAAAAGAAAGAAACTGGCCTCCCTTTGATGTGAGCCCTGAAAAGATCTTGCAGAAGAGATTCATCTCAAGAAATTATTTATCTTGCTGGGCGTGGTGGCACATTCCTGTAATCCCAGCACTCAGGAGCCTGAGGTAGGAAGATCATCATGAGTTGGAGTTTGTGGCCAGCCCGGGCTACAAAGTGAGCTCAAGGCCAGCCTGAACTGCATAACAAGACCCCATCTCAAAAAGACAGAAAATAGGGGCTGGTGAGATAGCTCAGTGGAATAAGCGCTTCCCTGGCAAGCACAAGGTCCTGAGTTCAATCCCCAGTACCGTAAAAAAAAACAACAAACAAACAAAAGAAAAAAGACAAAAAATAAAAGATGCATTACTTATCTTTATCCAGTACCACCTCTGCTACCTTGCATTATTTCCAGGGATAACTATGTTATTTCTGCAAAACAAGATGGTCAGTTACTACTCCAGGAATAAATAAATAAGGTCCACTTCAACAGTACTACATGACGTGGCTAATGTGAATCAGTTGGAACTGGGAGAATACAGATGGAATCAAAGAATGTGAAGAATGGGGATATGGCTCAGGCGTATGGTGCCTGCCTGGTAAGTGCAAGGTGCTGAGTTTGATTCCCAATGTAAAGCTGAATGGGGAGAATTTACAAGTGTGAAGTTTATTTATGTATGTTTGGAGTCCATTGTGCTGGCAGGGACATTGGGAGCTAGTACTAATTGAGAAGGATGGCTTTTTGTCAGACTACAGGGGGTATGGTAGAAATGCCAAAACGGTCTCATGGCATTGAAGGGCAGAGAAAGCCCAAGCAGTGGAAGGTTTAGAGTGAATGTCGGATAGTGGCACATACCTGAAATCCCAGAAGCCAGTACGGGGCGCCATGGGCAGGGCCAGCATAGCAAGTGATACCAGGGAATGAACCCAGACCCTTGCATTTGCCAGGCAGGTGCTTAGACTGCTAGGCTACCTCCCCAGCCTCCAACATGTTTAAAGTTGTACAATAATAACAATAATAAGCGCTTCCCAGGCAAGCGCAAGGGCCTGAGTTCAATCCCTGGTCCCGCCAAAAAAAAAAAAAAAAAAAGATCCAGAGTCCATAAACTAAAGAGGAAAATACATTCCCCACAAGAAAAAAACCCACAAGACCAACATAGGAATTTCTGACAAATTTTCCTTGTACCGGGACAAATGAAAAGAGGACATGCCCAGGCCCTTTGAGATTTAGTATTATGAAATTTGAGCTAACACTAGTATCAAAGGACAGGAAATGTCACTCATGGTTGTTTGGTTAGAATGACAATTAATGTTGAAGATAAAGAGAGAAATTCTGTCCCAAGTCTGTTTTAAAGTGGGTCTTGGGCTGGTGAGATGGCTCAGTGGCCTAAAGCACCTACTTAGAACAAGCTTAGCAAAGCACAGGGACCGCGGTTCGATCCCCCAGCACCACATGCCAGCCAGCCCCGCCCCCTGGTGGGCTGAGCTGGCCCCCCCCCCAACACACAAATAAAATAAATAAAAAAAATAAAAAAATAAAAAATAAAGTGGGTCTAAGGGCCGGCCAAATAGCTTAGTGGATTAAAGTGCCTGCAAGCAGGTGCAGGGGCTGGGGGTTCAATCCCCAGGCTTGCTGTGCCAGCCCCGCCCCTGGGACACAATGAGACAGCAATTGAGACTGGCTGTGCTCCTGTAATCCCAGCTCTTGGGAGCCTATAAACAGGCAGATCATTATGAGTCTGATCTAGTAGTGAGACCCTAAACACCCTGGAGACCCTTCCCTAAAATAAAAAAAAAAAAAAAAAAAAAAAAAAAAAAAAAAAAAAAAAAAAAAAAAAAGGAAAAAAAAAAAAAAAAAAAAAAAAAGAAAAGAAAAAAAGAAAGAAAGAAAGAAAAAGAGTGGGTCTACCAGGCTTATGGATCTACCCTATGGGTTTTTCACCAGGTGCTAGGAATATAATTCAGATAACTATATTTCACAGCTATTATGGCAGAAATGCCAAGAAGTCCTTTCCTTATTAAATTTTTTTTTTCCACGTCAGATGGGTAATGTGCCCAAGTTGTAGCAAGGGTTTTTTTTGTTTTTGGTTTTTTTGGTGGAACTGGGCATTGAACTCAGATCCTTGTGTTTGCCAGTCAAGCACTTATCCTACTGAGCCATCTCCTCAGCCCCTTGTGGCAAAGTTTGAGGGAGGCACATCTCATGCATAAGGCATGAACACCCAATCATCACACTCATGAACCAAAGGATCTCCTTATTAAATCAAAAGCAATACGTGTCCTGGAAAAAAATTCAGAGATTAGCACCACTGTCGAATACAGGGATGGCAGTTTTGTTGGGACTTAGTGATGGATATATAATAGTTCTTAGAAAGTTTCACTTGTCTCAGTTCCACAGAAACCAAGTAAATGGAGTAGATGACAATGGTCATTTTATATATAGTCTTTTTTTTTTTTTTTTTTTGGTGGAACCGGGAATCGAACTCAGACCCTTGCACTTGCCAGGGAAGCACTTATTCCACTGAGCCATCTCCCCAGCCCCTATAGTTTTTTTTTTCCCCTATAGTCTTTTTTTAAAAAATGTGTTTAGTATAGGGTCTACAGGGTCTCACTACACAGATCAGACTTGGAGTGATCCTCCTATTTTCAGCCTCCCAAGTACTGGGATTACAGGTGCATGCCACCAGGCCCAGTCTTAATCACAGTCTCAGTACGCCCCCAGGGCAGGCCAGCACGACATGCTGGGGATTGAACCCCACCCCAGTCCCTGTGTCTGCCTAAGCAGGCACTTTAATCCGCTGAGCTCAACTGAGTTACATGTTGTTACAGTACACGTTCTCCTATGTCCAGAGTCTTCACTGACCTTGAAAGGCTAGGGCCAAAATGTTGACTGACCTTGCAGCCCTTCCTTTTCTCCAATTTTGAACTGCTAACTTAGGTTGTTAACCTTCCAGAAGAGAAGCTAATTATTAACCTGCAATATACGCAGTTTGGTTTACCTTATCTGTCTAAATATCAAATATTTTGGCATTTCATGGAACAGGTATTTTCCATCAAATATTGATATGTTGAACTTTAAGTCCTTACAGAATATGAAGGAAAGATAATTTTATAAAAGTAGAAATAAGCATGTACATTTTTTTTATTTTATTTATGTGTGTGTGTGTGTGTGTGTGTGTGTGTGGCCAGCTCAGTCCACCAGGGGGCGGGCTGGCTGGCATGTGGTACCAGGGGATTGAACTGCAGTCCCTGTGCTTTGCTAAGCTTGTTCTAAGTAGGTGCTTTAGACCACTGAGCCATCTCACCAGCCCCAGGATGTACATATTTTTACAAAGAAATGTAGAAACCTAACCATATATGGAATTGTATTTTCTGATCAAGATTATGGAGCCACAGAGGTATGTGTTTGATGATGTATAGTGTGCCTGCGGAGAGTCACATGGAGAGAAAAAACATTTTCTCAGGCTTTCACAAAGAGCAAATTGGTCAAGCAATGGCCGTGACTCATCCACATGTCTGACACTTGACAAAAGGATGTACAAAGGGCAGTACAGGGCTACAGGATAAATCCTGAG